ATCATGATTCAATAATTAAAGGTTTGCTCACTAGTGACATTAGAGTTTTAATACTCCCTTAACTCCCTTACGAACCCACACACAGTGCCTTGCTAAGGGAGCCGATTTTGTCAAGAGGGAGCGAGAAAACTGTTTTCTGAGTAAACCATTTATTATTAAATCATGCATATATATGTATGTATGTGTACATTAAAACTCACATTCTTATGGATGTTATATCGCTCGTACTTCTTTCTCTATCTAAAGATTTAGCTCTTAGGTATCTATGCTTTACTTCAACTCCAGCTTGAAAATCCTTAAATGGAAACAGTGCAATTAATATAGATATATGTACATATTCATATTTGTAATTGTTTACTAACATCCCGCATGTTATACGTCAAAGTAAGGTTATTAGCAAAGCTCTCAGAAAACTCCGGATACAAATCTAATATATCTAGTAAATCGTCCCTGTGGATTTTGTGAATATCACAATAAGTTAGGGCGCGAACATTTCCGTTAGATTTTCCAATTGTTGAGTAATTACATGGATTTTCTCCAAAAATGTCGTCCTTTCCTAAATAAGATTTGTATTAAAAATTTTGTAAATGCGCTAATATATTCTTTTTGGTTGTTGTTGTTGTTTGTCAGGAATAAAGTCGAAAGGTTCACTTTAGATTAGTGTGCCATTCGCAGCCTAATTAAAAAATTCTCGTTAGTTTGGGTAATATAGAGAATTGTGTATTGGTCTAAAGCAGAGGTGGGCAGCTTCGGCAGAGCATTTTTGTTGTGTGCGTGCAATTGATGTCCCTGCGTGCGTACGAACAAGTCGTGCGGTTGAATGAAGGTTTCGCTGTCTTCCCAAGCAGAGCGTGTTTGCATACGCGAATACACCGCGCAGTCGCCCGCCGGGCAGACGCTGCCCAGCTGGGGTCTAAAGCAGGCATGCTCAACGCCGGCAGAACTCCATAAGCAAGTGCCCTGCGCTGGCAGAATTCAATAGGTAAGTGCCCTGCGCTGCGCACGGCTGGTCTAAAGTATACCTTTCTTCCTTTCTGCCACAGACATTCTAGACGCATGTGCTTAAATATGTATATACACTTGTGATCAGTTAATTAAGCCAGCAACATTTTGATAAATTTTGGATATTTTGCCTTCGTTTATTTAATGTTTATTATTTTTCCATAAAAGTCTAGCTGATTATATAAGAAACACCATATAAATCCAGATTTCAAACTGTGTGCAAAAATTATGAAAAATCTGCAAAGTTTCCGCTAAATTTTTAACTTTTTATTCAGATTTTTTTTGAGTATGCAGTTTAATAACACATTAAATTCTAGGGTAATAATGTGCAAGTCTTAAGTTGCTAAAGAATCGCGTTGATTTTTAATAATTTTTTTTTCTGACTGCATTACAAATTTTTTTCCATACAAAATAAATTCGAAAATTCTAAAAATCTGAATAAAAAGTTGAAAGTCCAGCTGAAACTTTGCACATTTTTCATAATTTTTGCACAAAGTTTGAAATCTGGATTTACGTGGTGTTTGTTATATAATGAGCTAGACTTTTATGGAAAAATAAAAAACATTAAATAAACGAAAGAAAAATAGCCAAAATTGAGCAAAATGTTGCTGGCTTAATTAGCTGATCACAAGTGTACATATCGTCACCTTTATGACAGAAGCATAAATGTGCAAATTTACCAATTTTGAGTCTCGTAAACAAAACTTTCAAATTTGATCTTCCAAAATTTTAATTTTAACACATTCATGTTTTTGACATACGGGCGAGAGACACCATATAGGAAAACGTTAAATTTTATAGAACCGAAATTTACATAGAAAATGCTTTCAAAGCCATTCTAAAAGTACCAAAAAATTTCTAAACTTTTAAGAAATGGCTAATAGAGAAAAAGTATATATTTTGCTAATTAATACTTAAGTTATTAGTATAATTTGGAAATGTAAGTGATTTATGCTCACATTTTTTTCATACTAACAAAATTCGTACCAAAAATGTTCTGGGTCTTTATGTCACCGCATAATATACCCTTCCTTTGATCACAGCCAATTGATTTTTAATTTCTGCTTTGCTCCAAGTCACTATGCTTTGGGGCTGCTCAAAATCGAAAAGGGTGCCTACACCAAAAATGAGATTTCGAATTTTTATTTATTTTTTCTTAAGAAAGGGTGCATCCAAAATGCCAAAATACAAAGCATCATTCTCTTAACCTCAGTAGATTGTAATGACAAATTTGCGCCACCACCGTTAGATGCTAGTTTTAAACTAGATCGCGCAAGTTAGACTTTTTCTTCTAGAGCGGTTTGGAAAAAAAGATACTTTGCATTTTGACGTTTTGGGATGCACCCATAGTCTATTGGTACCCCATATTATACGATTTCTAGGGATGTCAGTGGCAAAAATACATCGGTGTTTTTCTTTGATTCGAAGCATCGAAATGTACATCGATATTTTTCGATGCATCGAAGGGCATACATCAATGCATCGATTTGCATAGGATTTTTCAGAAAATTGTACAAAGGTAGAAATAAATTACTGCAACTGAGCTAACGGTACTTTTTGGAGCCACTTCAATTTTTTGGTCAAAGTCACTTCTCTTTTTTGTACAATTAAAAAACTGGAATGACGTTCAATGTACTACTGATGTCAATTTTTAAAAAAATCGATACATCGAGTGGGAAAATTTCGATGCATCGAAGCAACACATCGATATTTTCGATGCATCGATGTTTTTTCGACAACGATTTCAAGTATTCGGAATATAAAGATTGCCATAAGAGTTATCGCATGAAATACGATATCGTATCGCACCGGTAGTATCGCATCTGTTTGGGGCCACATTAAAAACGGTTTAGAGCTAAGGAAATATTTCTACGCCCAACGTCAACATAAGAAAAAAAATTTTCCGTCTTTCTAATAGATCTACATACATACATGCCTTTTGTTCTCAAAATTGTGCATAATAAATAGATACTATGGGAAGTCCGGTAAAATGTTTGAACTGCAAAACGATGTCGTACCTAGAATAACCACTGCATTATTATCTCTCTGGATTTCTATCGATCCTCTTGCGATGAAAAAAAGTGACGTCAAAACATCGCCTTTATGCACCAAAACATCCCCAGGGGGAGCATGCGTAGTTTTAAATTTTAGCGACAGTGCTCTGAAAAAAGGAAGAAAATAACAAAATTTCAATAATCATAAATTATTTCTTCGATTGCGTATGCTTTTAAGTAATAAGTTGTCCACTGTATGTGTAAGGTAGATCAATGGGTTGTAAGACTAATATTTCAAGAAATGTAAAAAGCGACATCTACCAGTCGCTGGCTTCAGATTGCGACTTCAATTTTGTGTTTGAACTTTTTCCACCACGCTGTATTTTCGCTAAGTTTTGCTGGACTTCTACGAAACGAAGACGATCTTATTACAGATCAATTCCCGACGCAGCTTTATACCTTCGAAAATATGTATAATAACTAGCCTTGCATCCACATTTATGAAAAATATAGAATTCTTCATAAACCGGAAGTTTGTTTAGAAGTCTCCCTTCACAGAGCTCTTCAAATATATTTAATTTTTTTTATTAATGAGGCCATACGAGTTTTGGGAGGGAGTAACAACACAAAAATATGTACCTATGTAGTTCCATTAATGTTACAGTTGAATGTCGATTATCTGGGTCGCCCGATACCAAACTCATCATGGATCATGGAAATATAACCTTAAGCATCGTGTATTTTATTATTATTTACAATTTGCCATTTAGCCATTTTTATACACAACTATATGCAAACATAGATGTTTATATTTCCTTTTCATAAGGACTATTAGTCGTAGTTACGGAAAGCACTAAGCACAACAAGTTGGTAGGAGGCAGTAATAGTACGCCGCTTTCAGCTGCTTCGAACTTAAACAAGAAACTGAATACCACTTCTCACAAGCAACATCAATACCAACTAGGGATGTTAATTTTTCAGCATTTTTCGATCCCGGGTTTTTTGGAATGTCGTTATGACAAAGCCGGGATCCCGGGATCTAAAAAATTGCTTCTATATTGTTTGAGAAGCTCTCTTACCATAAAATAAATAATGAATAAATGGGTTTGAAACCTACTTTTTTATTTTAAGTGGGGTTTTTATTTCTTCTCTCTGACGTCAGGATTTATTTTAAAGGACTTTGTAATTTCAAAGATATGATAAATTCCAAAAACTATTTAAAAAATTCAAAGAATGTAGAATAAAAATATGGGCACTAAATGCGAGAGGAAATTTCTTTAGAATTAAAAAAAAATTAAAATTGTTTGGATTCACAAGGACGATTAGGTAATTTTTTAAGCTGATAAAGTTAGAACGACGAAATTCGAGGTTGTTATCGAGTTTATGTAAGTCCTTAACATATAATTTTTACAAAAACAAATATTGCGAAATTTCAAGCGTCAAATTTTAAAAGGACATTTTCAATATTTACCAGTCCTGCACCAAAAACTTGAATCTGTTTAAATTCTTACAGGATTTATTTTGATACCCATACTTCTTCTCTAAGCACATTTCTCTGAATTTTTTAGATCATTTTTGAATTACTGGCGTCAGAGTGAAAATCTAAAACCGCAATTTTACTATATTTGGCCCATGGTTCCTCGAATACGTTGATATTTGTGTTTAAAATTTGCTATCGCGCGTTGTTATATGTTATATGTACTTAAAAAAATATTAATTATTAAATAAAAAACAAATGTAGACAATACTGGCCAAGAAAAGGGGTTTCTGTTATTACCATCAGTGCAAATTACAAATCCCGAAAATCCCGGGATTATTAGCCAAGAATCCCGGCAGTTTTGGGACCTTAAAAAGGCCGCGATCCCGGGATCCCGTGATTAACATTCCTAATACCAACATAATACGAAACACAACGCAAACAGAAAAGTGGCAAGTTCAAGTAAGTTCAACATTATTAATATATATAGCCAGGCACCATCAATGCAAAGGGCCCTATTTGATAATTTTAAAATATTTCAGGAGATGGAAAAAGCCCTTTAAAATTTTCAAATAAAATGCTTTCAAAGAAGCTGTTCTAAAGATGTCAATAAATTTCGCATCTTTTAAGATTCGGCTTTGAATTCTTGTATGACTGTGCATCTGCCATCAAATCAAAGAATTATGTATAAAAAACGCATTTCCTCAGAACAAAATTTGTGTTTGAAGGGCAGATGTAAAACCTACTTGAGAAAACGGCCCTAAGTCAAGTAATTAGAAAACTGCGTTTACAATTTTTCCAGCACCCTGAAATTCACAACTCATTTATAAAAATCAGTTTCCCATGACTATGAAAACATCGCCATTTTTGTTATAGTTTTTTTTTGAGCAGGTTTAAGTTTAAAAAAGGATGTATAAAGCTACTTCCCTCAAAAAATTCATGGATATGTAAAATATAAGCTGGAGATACAGTGGCAAAAATATAAATAGGGAAGAGACATTTTAGCATTCTCAAGTAGCCAAAACTTGCCAAAATGTGTATTCCCTATTTACATTCTCGCCACCGTATTATTATATGTATACATTTTTTCGATAATTTTCAAGTTTTTTCGGCCTAAAAAGAAATCAAGGATATAACAAATTTTACGGTTTCTTCCCTTCAAGCCGATGGCGTCTCCATTTCATTTTGAAAAATACAAAATGAAACTAAACAAGTGAAGAAGAGAAGACTGAAAGCAAAAGAAACCGATTGTACGGGTGATCTAATACAAATACGCTCAACGATATACAAAATAGATCCTGGATGTCGGCTCATTTTAGCTGGTGTCCGGAACAATGTTCCGATTAAAATAAAAATTAACATTATCAACACCTCTCTGGTTTCCATTCTATTTATAAAACTAGATAAATAAACGAAAGATTTCACCATAAAATCAGAATTGTCTGCAAATTCCTCAAATTTTCGAGAATATTGTCAGCTTCAGCTTGAAGAAAAACAAAAAATTGTATCTCAAAGAAAGGTGGCTCTGCTAAAATTGAAGAAATACATTTGTCATCAAAGGTTATGTAACAAAATTGCTAAAAAAACTGGTACCAAACAGAAAAGAGAATACGTTAATATGCATCGGATCAACAGAGATTGATGCGAACTCACCAATACGAGTATATAGGCGTGTACCTAATCGTCTACCAATTGCAGCTTTAAGACAACGAAAAGCAGATATTCTAATGGTTAACGAGTTTAGGACTATAAACTTTGCGCCAAGTGTTTTAGCATAAACCTGACATACGAATCGCTACACAGATACCAATTTTGCCAAAATTGCCGTACTTGTTGGAATATAGGAATGTTAATCCCGGGATCCTGGCCTTTTTAAGGTTCCAAAAGTCTCGGGATAATCTTTTCTTGACCAGTATTGGCTATATTTCTTTTTTTATTTAATATTTAATCATGATACATATAACACCGCGCGATAGTAAATTTTAATCACAAATATCAATATATTCGCGAAACCATGGTCCAAATATAGTAAAATTGCGTTTTTGGTTTTTCACTGTGACGTCAGTAATTCAAAAATGATTTAAAAAATTCGGGGAAATGTGCTTAGAGAAGACATATGGGTATCAAATTAAAGAGGAAATCCTTTAGAATTTAAACAGATTCAAGTTTTTGGTTCAGAAGGGCCGGATAGTAACTAAAATGTCCTTTTAAAATTGTATAGTTAAAATTTCGCAATATTTGTTTTTGAAAAAATTATATGTTAAGGACTTATATAAACTCGATAAAATCCTCGTATTTCGTCCTTCTAACTTTATGAGCTTAATTACATATTCGTCCTTGTGAATCCAAAAAATTTTATTTTTTTAAATTCAAAAGAAATTTCCTCTTGCATTTGGTACCCATATTTTTATTCTACATTCCATTGAATTTTCTAAATAATTTTTGGAATTAATCATATATTTGAAATTACAGAGTCCTTTAAAATAAATCTTGACGTCAGAAAGAAAAAATAAAAATAATAAAAATAAAACATTTATAACGTTTTGATTTAAAGCGCGAGTGTGGTTTCATTTTTTATTGGAACGCTGTGCAAGGCCACCGCGTTGCTACTATGGAAAAGCAATACGTTGAAAATACGAAAACTCCGATATTTCAGTAATTGAGGACGCTAATTTACTCCAAGTTAATACTTAAAACATTCTCTTAATAATAAATAAGACTGTTATATTACTCTTATTATTACAAAAATGTAGTTTTATTACATTTTCTTATCTATACTGTTATACATATTTGAATTATATATATATACTAGCTTTTTCCCGCGTCTTTATGCAATTATGAAAAATACTTTATGTAACGATGTTATATTTCATTTCTTCTCTAATTTTAATATAGCCGTGATAGCATAATATGGTAGAATAGTTGATGTATTATGGAACGATTTTCCGTCATCCCTTGTCAAATTTGGTTTGGAGACAAACCGGTTTCGGCGTTGTGCCATCTTCAGTGTCATTTTTCGTTCTGAATAGTTCGTGTTTCCTTCCGCTTTTTATGTATTCGTGTTACTATCTGTTTAACTGTCATTAGGTCATGCATACCCTTCTAAGTGCGACGAAGAACGAAAAATGACACTGAAGATGGCACAACGCCGAAACCGGTTTGTCTCCAAACCAAATTTGACAAGGGATGACGGAAAATCGTTCCACAATACATCATACTCCTACCCTGTCGGAAACACAATCAACCAAAAAGAAAAAATAAAAAGTAGATTTCAAATCCATTTATTTTTTATTTATTTTATGGTAGGAGAGCTTCTCAAACAATATAGAAGCAATTTTTTCGATTTAAGTTGGTGAAAAGAAATGAATATCTAACTAATCGGGGACTAATCGGGGACTAATCGGAGCATCGCGGGATTGTGATAACGACGTAACGAAAATCCCGGGATCGGAAAAAGCTGAAAAAATAACATCCCTAATATTGTACCTTGGAAAATGTATAATCAATCATCACGAAAAACACCAAAATTTTTGCAAATATGATGATATTATCTTTAATATAATTAATAATTATGTATGTACATATAAATGGAAACAGTTTCACTTTAAAAGTTACGAAAGGGAGAAAATTTTGCTTAATCACAGTAGAATTTAGTATAGCTATTCCCTGTATGCAAAAACTAGGGGAATGTAAAAGAAAACAGTGAAGATGCTATTTTTCCGAAGTAATTTGCTTAGTTTAGTTTTAAAAGTGGGGAATATCGTGACACGAGTAATCGAGTTCAACTGATGTCATCAATACCACGGGCATACGCATCGCTGCATCTCTACATTATAAAGATCCAGAAAAAGATCAAAAAGTAGAGCAGGATAGCCCGAACACAATGAAAACGACGAGCTACGGACCACAGCTGTCAAATTATTTTAACACGTATTCTTATGTAGATAATTATTTTGGCGACGACCGAGCTACGCGACGACTGTGGTTGTGGCCAGCTTAGATCTATTTCTATTTTTCCAGCGACAGATAAGGTTCTTCCTCTTCTTTTATGTCAAACTCATACAAATTCATGATGTCGCTGGCGCGTTCATAAAATTCATGTAGCCATCGACAAAGCGTTTAGATAATAAAGATAACAAATTGAAAGCTGTAGCCCGTAGCTCGTCGTTTTCAATGTGTTCAGAACTCAAGATAAAAACAACGCAGTCGCCCTAAAAATACTACACCATCAGCGACGGTTGGAATTCTGGCCGATTCTCCTTGGAATTTACATTACGAACTTGCAGTTCCTTTGGAAATTTCAAGAAGAAATATGTTTTATTACAAGCGGTTCAAGCCAAAAGTCAAAAGTGTCTAAGAACCTTAAGTATCTGATAAAAAGTAACTTGGCTCCATTTTCATCATTATTCTAAATGTTATTCGAAATTTCAATTATTTAAAATTTTAAAAAGCATTTTTTATCTCATAAGACTTATTTACAACCAACTTCTAGCAAATGACCAACTGGTTCGCCGATAAATCAATGCATGCATCGGACCTTCAAGTTGGTCAACTCGCTTTTCAATTTAGGGCAAAAATAATCGATTAATCGCTGCCATTTCTAAAATGTTTACATAAAAACTGGAATTGTGTGTGTAGTGAATTATAAAGGTAATATTGACCGTATGAAACTAATTGCTTTTTCTTAAAATTTTAAAGATTTCACTTAAATTTATTTGAACAAATCTAGCAGAAGGTCTGGAATTTCAAGTAAAAGCATTTGCTTAGGTTTTATACATACGGCCCATTGAATAGCAAAAGATGTTACGAGAATACATGCATCGTGCACGATCAATTCATTAATCCAACAATATGGATCGCGATCCAGATATCGGGATAATTACTGAACGTGTAACAGGGCCCATTGCCTAGCGTTAGTACGCTATTTTGTTGCAGAATACCACTTCCAGAGTTCGCCTTTATGTACATATGTAAATCGGCGGTAAAAATGACGATGCGGCCATCGTCAGCCATTATTATTACTAGAGTCCAGCGTGGTGAGCGGTTCTATGGTTTTTCGAGCTCGTTACTATCACTTGGTTTTGTGACAAAAAATCATATAAAAAACCGAAAAAATATAGAAAACTAACAAAAAAAATTGCAAAAGTAGCAAAAATGGAGCGAGTGTAAAAAACGTAAGTAAATGTTAAATATACTAAGTGAAATTCCATTGTGAATTGTCGGTGTTTACAAGAAGCCCGTGCGGCGCCTGCATCATGGGTAGGATTAACTGAGTGTAGGCCCGTATTAGCCATCTCCGCAACTTCGTAATTGGCACGCGGCATTATATCGATTGAGTAGCACCCAAAATGCCGTGCTATCACAAATCTCTACGAGTATGATTAAATTTGAGGGCGGCAAAAAAAAGTTTATAGTACTTTGAGCTACCTTTTCGATAAAAAAATCTACAAATATCGCAGATGTAGCGTTACTAGAACATATGCGTACCGATTTAAAATGGAACGGAAATAAACTACACGAAATAGAAAATGTCAAACTATTTTGGCCTTCCATCGAATTATTTTATAACCTGCAACGGTATAATGAAATCGAGGAAATAAAAAATTTTGTACTAATACCACAACTAAAACACGGTTTACATCACGTCAGATACGATAGATTTGCGTTCCATCAACTATTGTGTCGATTAAAATTATTTAAAGGACCATTCCTTCAACGTGCACTAAAATGTTTTCTTCACTTGTAACCGATGGAGTGTCGGTATCATTTTGTATGGAAAAGAAAATACAAAATGAAACCAAAGGCAAAAAAAGAAAACTGAAACCAAATGAAACCGATTGTGAAGGTGATCTAATAAAAACGCGGAACAAAATACGACAACAAGATTGGGCTAGAACCTGGGTGTCGGCTCATTTTGGCTGGTGTCCGGAACAATGTTCCTGTCAAAATTAAAAGTTCATACTACCAAAATCTTTCTGGTTTTTTTTTATCGAAAAAATAAACTACAGAAATACACGAAAGATTTCACGACAAAAACAGAATTATCGGCGAATTCGTCAAAATTTAAAGAATACTGTAAATTTGAACTTGAGATACTACAACAAAAGCAACCAATTTTCTCGCAAAGAAAGGAGGCTCGTCTGAAGTTGAAGAAGTACATTTGCCGACAAAAAGCCTGCAACCAAATTGCGCAACAACTGGTACCAAACACAAAAGAGAGTACGTTGATATGTATAGGTTCCACCGAAATTGCTTCAAACTCACCTGTACGCAGATATCGGCGTACACCTAACCGTCTACTTCTAACAGCTTTAAAACAACGGCATGCAGATATTCTGATGGTTAATGAATTCAGAACAACCAAACTTTGCGCAACATGTTTTAGCGTCAACCTGACTGCCAAATCGCCCCACAGGTACCAATTTTGCCCAAAATGTGGTAGCTGCTGGAATCGAGACGTCAATGCTGGGAAAAACATTCTTTACCTGGGAGAATGTATCTTCGATCAACACGAAAATTTAAAAAAATAAGATGTCACTATTTCTTGTATAACGGCAACTGTGTACATCTGACTGGCAACAGTTTAGTTTTAATGTTAAGTGCAAACAAATATATAGATATATATATATAGATATTTATATTTAGATATAGATATAGACATAAGGCTGGTATCACTTGTGAACACTGTCAAATATAAACATACCTTAAGCAACCCGGACTAGCTCCTGAAAAAGCTGAGCAAGTTGTCAGCAGCTTCCTATTTAAGTGTAGACAAATATCGGCTTGAAGGCATTCTGGAAATCCTTTCAACACCGAGTTCATGTCAATTCCATTCGTATAGGACCACGCGTGCTGAAAATACTCCTCTAATCGTTGCCTAAGTGGATTTGGAATCTAAAATGAAGCATTCGATCTTGTATCATGGAAATAATTTTCCCTTTTGGTAGAATATCGCATTACCTGATGAAATCTAATAAATTCACGCACCCTCAACATTTGTGTATGATACCTGGCAGTACCCGAGTAAAGTCTTTGTATTATTGCAGAAACATTTCCAAATATACTCGCATACATAAGAGCTAGAAATTTAAATTGGTTTTTATACTAGAGCACTAAAGGAAAAACACAAACACTCTCATAAACAGCTAGACTCATTATAATTCCACGTACACAAAGAACGGTGCTTAAAACATTGGAAAGAGATTCCAGAAAGAACGCAAAAAATTCTGATCGAAAGTCTGTCGATAAGCCAAAAGTCATCTTTTTCACATACATTTTAATTTGCATTAGGATTAAATGTTACATGTTCAGTTTTTGATATACATACATATGTATATATGTCCTTACATACATATATTTAAATGTACCTAAATCCCCTGCCAGCATTTTTTTTATCTCAGAAGATGATAGCTTTTTCGACTTCGTATACGCGGTCCGGAAGTGATGCAAAAGCAATACTGCAGTTAGGAACTATTTCGACAAAAATTAAACTAAATGGCAAACTCAAAGGTGTCGAATAACCTTAAGTATCTGATAAAAAGTAACTTGGCTCCATTTTCATCACTCTTCTAAATGTTATTCGAAATTTAAATTATTTAAAATTTTGAAAAGCGTTACTAAAAAGCATTAAACAAAGGCTGAGTTCCAAGATGGTATACTGCAAAGCATCAGCCTCTTTTATTTCTAAACTACATATAACTGATGGAAATGACCAATTCGCGCAACTAAGTTTCAATTCGGATTTTGAACATGGCTGCGCATATTGGACATATCCATCAGTTATAGTTTAGAAATAAAAGAGGTTGATGCTTTGCAATACACAAACTTGGAACTCAGTCACAAATTTACATTTTTTTATTCAAATATGCTTTTGATGTACACTGAGAAAAGAGTTTAGTTAGGTCAACTACATAGTAGGTCTCTCAAAGTTAAATTATTTGGTTATTATTACCAACTCATTTGTGAAAATTAAAATCTGTATACCCTTTTTCTAGATCTGGTCATTTCCCTAAAATATTTTTATTTTACGGTTGCATTGCGATGAAAAGAATTCAAACTTCAACATGGAAAATGTTACTCATACGCCCTGGACGAATATGTACGGCTACGGCCATGTACGATATGGCGCAGGCCCGTCGAAAGGGAGGGGGTAAGGGGGTAATCCACCCGCGCCCGGGCTTCTTGGGGTCCGAAATATCAGAACCACAACTTTTTTTTACCATATAATTGCTCCTTTCTTGATAGGTTTTTTTTTATAAATATATGCCGATTCGTGCTGATTCCTTCTGACTATAAATTAAAGAAAATGATCACATGGCCCAAAACGCGCACTGTTACAATACGTTTTGGCTCACAGTGCATTTTGTTTCAACAGCGGACTGTTAAATTACAATTTTTGGAAGTACTTTTTAAAGCTACTTTATATTATCGAAAAAGTCTGCTCTTTTTATATAACTCAATAACTACGTATTTATTGAACTGATAAAATTAATTTTGAGGTCAATATTTGCAAAAAATAGTCGAACTGCTACGTTACAGAAAAAGACTGTTACGTTACTTGTACGTTAGGTTTTTAAACGGCTTGTAGTCTGTTTTATGTAAAAGGTAGCATGAATTCAGTAGACTTGCGATTTGACATGTAATCCAAAGAAATTAAGAACATAATAATTATGAATACAGATTTGAAAGTTTCTGTTGTTGTGCAGCTGTAGGTCGTTTCAGAAGTAATTTTCTGCTTAGAACTCGAGCTCGAGCTTATAACTGCTGCAAGATATTGAGGTTTTTCGGGGTTAAGAACAGTGTTGCCGCGCCCGAAAAATAAAGTTTAACAAAACCGTTAAAAAAGTTTTACAAATCCCTTTAAAATAAGTAACTTAAGTAAGTAAGACCCGTTACTTAATTAAACGAACATGCTTGGAGTTACTTTTTTTTTTTCCTGATCTTGGTAAATTGGTTATAGAAATAAAAAGTAAGCAAGTAAAGTCCCTCTAAGGCTGAGTTTTGTCGTCAAATGTAAGGATTTTATTATAGTCTAAGGGCCAATTTCAAATGAATATTTAAACGGCACTTAAGTTGGGTTTTCGTTGGGTGCACATTAATAGTGGAAGTTAATCAATAATCTCTACTTAAGTAGGCCATCTGAAATCCGGCCTATGGAACCTTGATCTGGATGACAGTCTTCCTAAAATAAATTTTCAAAATTTATTGAAATAGTGGGCCGTATGAGTAAAAACTAAGCAATTGCTTTTTCTTGAAATTTCATACCTTTAACTTCAATTTTGTTTGAATAAATCGTAAAAGGTATAAAATTTTAAGAAAAAGCAATTCCTTATTTTTATTCATACGGCCCAGTAAGTCTTCTGACAATGAATTTTTGAGGGAAATTATCCTTTTTGACTATTTTAATAAACAAATTTAGCAAAACGAAGAAAAGTTTAACATTTTAACTGGCAGGAAAAACTTAGTAAATTTTGCTTAAATTTAAGCAAAACGGCAACGCACGAAAAACGGCCTTAATGGCCAATTTTGCTTGCTCTATGCCATTCGCCTTCGAGTGGTGCTTTACGATTTTTCCATCAGAAATTATGTTCATTTGAAGATGGCGTAATGAGTTAAAAAGCATATGCTTAGTTTTCGATGTTATATTCGAGGACACGGCAGTTTCAGTGGCCGTAACTCTTGAGGGAAAAATCGTATAGCACCATTCGAGAGTGCATTTTGAAGGATAATAATAGTACTAGAAAACTACTGGTAATAATTCTGATAGGTTTTTACTATTCAATCAGAAAATCTTCTTCTTTTTTTTGCTTCTTTTAGCCTCGTTCCTTTTTGAAATAATATAATTCTCGCGTTTTTTTTTTATTTTTCTAAGTTTTTTTTATTTTCTGTGCCTATTTGAGTTAGAAAGAATATAAATTTTAACTATGGGTCAATAGCACGTTGAATAGCTTACATTGCTGCTTTAAAATTAGCCCTATATCTAACTAAAAAAATAATAATTTTACCTGATAATTCAATTAGCAAAAAGACTTACGTTACAAAAAGTTTTGCACCGAAACACATGGATACTGAAGAGTATATGAAACTGTTTTATCGTGGAGAAGGCCGCAAATGCTCGAACAAAACCATTTTTCTATTTTTAGCCTGGTGGATTCCGCCCCAAAAAACTTTTTGATAATTTAGACATTACCTTAAAAAATTATGCAGATTTTATTTTCGTTAAGAAACTTAATCACTGATTATTTCGAATACTTTTTTATTAAATTCAAATTAATATAAGGCAATCGAGGAGAATCAAGTATGTATATGCAAAAAATGGTGGCTTTTAAATATAAACAACCCTTAATTTCATGTTGTGCTTTTTTAATTTTCATTAATTTTAAGGTGTATCAGGATTAAGTAAATTTCCATGTTTGAGAGAAGCAGACTCGTGTTAATATTTATATTGTTGATACCTCAGAATATGTATGGCCCAGATATAATCAAAAATCTGCGAAACCTGAGAAAAAAATGTTGCCCCTCGGTTTCGTTTTCGGCGAGTTGGGCCATATGCTTTTAATTTTATACACTTTATATACAGGGGCCCGAGAGTTTTTTAGTCCCAGCCCCGAGTTTTCTCTCAACGGTCCTGATATGGCGTATACAGAAGTAGGATAATTGTCTGCCCCCGATGATGCCGAAAATTTCAGCGAAACGTTGGGCAACCATCTTTTATTTACACCATCAAATAATAGATCAGACTAGCCTACAAGTGTACCAAATTTAGAAATGTATTTATCTGACTCTTTTCTCAGTGTAAAGACGTCCTGGCAATGAGCGATAAAACAAAAGTGCATACAAAGGGAATAAATAATGTATGTACTTATGTATTTCTTTCAATGTCGACTTTAAATTTCTATAAAAAAAATGTATAACTTTAGTTTTACAGTAATTGCAGAGTATGCAGTGCTATTTGTCGTATTTAATATTTTAATGAATATTGAATTTTTTAAATAATGCTTCAAGTTAAATTTTAGGTTTTCACTTTTTTGGACAACACACCACTACAAACATATGTAGTTATATAGGCTCATGCCCAAAATACATATGCCTTCCTTTTCTTATTTAGTATTTTCTCATGTTTATTTTTTACAGTTCTAAGTGTATGCGAATCATAATCTCAAGACTAGATATTCTTGGAAAGCTATGACAAAAAAGAGAACAGGGAATTTTCTGAACATAGCTATTTGTACAATACAAAAAAAAAAATAATAATAATAATTTTGCAACAAAATATTTTTAATTATATAATAAATTCGTAATAAATATGTTGAAAAATTGTTACTAAAACAGCGAGCAAGCCTAGCCATAGGCGTACTGGTCTTCACAGACCTTTGAGGAAATTTGTTTCGTTTTTCATACATTTTTAACAAAATACAAATAACATACCCGGGCAAGTAAGGAATCAATTCTGGTGAAGACTAAATATTTCACATTTAGCGATCATAACGATTTTCGTTATTTTGAAACAATTAACCTATCATGAATTTATTAACAAATCATTGAATAACATGCTTCATAAAGTACATATCACAATTGTTGCTAAAAACACATATAAGCACCTAAAGGGTTTGTGGTGTGCGGCGGCTCTCGCCTTCTTAACACAATATAAAAATATGTGCGTACATACATATGTGTGTACATACATACATACTTCATTTTAGCACGCTGCACGCCGTAATTCACAAGCCCCTTAGGTACTATATTGATAGCATGAAACTACTTACAGCCCACAAGCATAACACATATCGTGAACACCTTTTCGGCGTCGGTATTTGGAGCGACATTTCCAAATCCAACCGAAGTTAACGAAGTAAATGTAAAGTAGAGTGCAGTTATATATCTAGACTAAAAATAAAGATTATTTACACACGCACATATGTATGAATGTCAACCGCAACAAGTACTATTTATATCTGTATATGTATGTATGACAAATTAGAATACCTTAATTGTGGGCCCACCAGTATTATTGTCAAAATAAGGCTCCTGAATATCATTTCCCAGCGAATGCAGCCAGCCAATGTTCTTTGTTAGAAGCGTTCTTTCGGCGTTTCCTATAGCATACCTAAATATGTATAAATAAAGTCCCGTTGTTCGATTTTAATATTGAACGGTTTTAATATTGCGGTTTTAATATTGAACGTATTTACCAAATGCAAGCCAACCAATGGGCGATGAGCACAAATGTGGCCATAAGAAGAACCAACACAGCAGCACCATATTCTGAGTATCTATCTATTTTTCTGGCTACTCTCACCAACCTTAGCAATCGGGCAGTCTTGAGCAATCCTATCAGAGTTGTTGTCTGCAATAAATTAAACGTTATTTAGCCAATATCGAATAAAAGTGAAAAAATGATCAAAAGCATTTTGTGCGAATCGGGTATTTGGGTAACCAAGGAAAAATATTAAGAAATGTACATATACATACATATAATCAAATAAAAAATCCTTAAATGTGATTTAGTGCACCTATTGCTTTCCTATTCTTTGTATAAATAGCAGCAATTTATTTCGCAAAATAAGTTATAAAAAATCCTTATTTAAACTTTTATACGCGTCAGAATTGTAAACTGAGATCGTTGTTATTTTAGTAGTCTGCATGTGCAAGAATAAGAAGCTTTAAAATAAAAAAATGAACCGATTTTTTTTTTTTACTTTCTAAAGTGTCCTCTTCAGTCCGGATGAGTCGATATAAACATGTCGGTTACTTGAAGCAGGGGGCAATTCCGGCTCTATGAAGCTGTGAAGTGAAAATCAAAAATTCAATGTCAGTGAAAATTTAATTTTTTCACTTTATCGTTTCGTTATATAATTTTAAGCGATCCTCGGTCATTAAAGGCTATTCCATTAACATCTAGCAAGTAATTATTTAATAATTTGTTGTGATTTTAAGACAATGATATTCCTTATAAATGCACAAATTTTCTTTTTCACAGCCACAAAACTTTGCGAAAAAAAGTTTTCACAGTGAAAAATGTTTGACAAATTAATTAATGTACATTTGAAAACAGAATCGTAATTTTATGTGAAGTGACGAAAAATGTTTTCACTTCACGTTTTCACAGAACAAGGAATTGGCCCCAAGGATATGTACATATTCGAATGGTTTTCTGTGATTATAAAATTCGATTTCACCTTGGCATTACTAATTTAGGAAATATTTATGTACCATTTTTGTCAATTTCATTTTGGCACTTTATTTTCTGTTTGTATTTAAGTTTATGTACATATTGTATGTATATTAAAGGTAATTAATCTATATACACAATTGCGATATGATATATAATTGATGTAATTTGAAATGAAATTTCCGCCATCCCTTGTCGAATTCGATTCATCCTCCCCAAACCAATTTTTACAATAAACGCCTGTCGGAGGAATCAACCAACCCCTACAAATGTAGATAATCCCTGTGTTTTTAGTTTGTGAGGGGTACCTTTGTTGAGAAATACATCGATGGTGATGTTTTGCATTGATGCCTTTCTGAACAAGGGTATATGAAATAATTCACATACAGATCCCCCAGTTTCTCAAGTAAAAATGGGCTGAAATGTATTTACAACGAAATGAGAAATAAAATTCGAATATTTGGTTGCAGTAAATTCGGGTTAACCCAAACTGAGACTCCTTTAGTAGTCCTAATGTGGTCTTGTGTTCTTGTTCTTGTTTCGATTTGTGGATGTCTCAGTGTGATATTCCTGACGACTCGGTTACCTACAATAAAATAAGTATTTTTGTAGGTTGTGGAGTATTTTCGGCTATGATTATGCTCCAATGAATGTTTTCGGCAAATTATTATAAAGAAAATTGCGACAAGTATAAAAACCGTTTTGCAATTAAAATGGCACGCACAATGTGAAAGATTACATAGAAGTGTATAATTGTGGAATTGAAGCTACGGGAAAGAATTACTGCGTTTTTAATTTGCTTAAACATAACATAAGTAATTGCGCTCAAAAGCTCATTTAAGGAAAAAATATTGTCTTATAATACCTCTTCATTATCCAAGCCGAGCTGTAAAACATTGGACACATAAAGAAATTAAATTAAACATACAAAAATTTGAAAATATTTGCTAGAGTAGATAATAACTATATTTGGTATCGATTGTCGGCAAATAAATCAGTTACGGTAATATGCCTTATTCGGGTATTTCCACAAAATTTCAATTGAATGGTATATGAAAATACCAAGATTGTGCAATTATTCACATACAATACATATGTATGTTGTTTATTGCTTTAACTGCAATTTTGCCCTCAATTATTCCCGAAGTAAAAATTCCTATCTACGAAACTCACTATTTATGTACATTTGTATTATTGTATGTATGTAAGTATATACATACCGTCACCTTAATACACATGTCGCACGTTTAATAATATAGAGATATAACTCAAAATTTACTTTTTTGGAGATTTCATTATCCAATTAATAAGCTTTATAAGAAGAATATGTTGAGTTCAAAAGATAAAAAAAATTTCCCAAATATGGCGGTGATATATATGAGTCTTTCCATCCGTCTTTTTTTATACCAACTGCACACATTGATTGCGTTTTCCCACAAAATTGAATTTTTGAATTACTTCTGTATATTATTAAACGCGCGATATGCAACTCTCCAAAAAAAAAAATTTTTTAACTTAGATTTAAAGTGCTTGAAGTATGCAACCCATTAGTTGAGCAGCGACCAGTGAAGGAAGAGTGGGTACAATTGTACTTTTTTCAGCGCTTTTATAATTTGAAAGTACATTCGGTACATACAAGGTGTCCCAGAAGTCATAGTAGTAATAACACAATGTTCGAAGCGTCCAATTTCACAAAATCCACTTTCACTAATTCCGGTAAGTACTATTTAGCATGTCATTGGTCGGTAACAAGAGCAACTCAAATTTAAATCTATTAAATACATTCTAGCGTGTCTCAGTCCTTTGCCCACAAAAGCGGCTAAACCTAAAGTTATAGCTCAGTACATTTTTTTTCACCAGAGATAGTCAAAGTTGGGGAAGAAAATATCAAAAAGTTAAAAATCCCGAAATAGTCCTAATTTTATGATGGTTCCTTAATATATTTTAACTACATTGCATTTGAGTAGGGAGAAGCAACTATCTGGAAGTATTTTACATAAAAAATTTACTAAGTATAGCCTGGTTTGTAGATGCAGTTAAAGAAAATACATGAAAAGGCACAATTTTTTTTTAGCTAAAAAATGTAAATATTTCAAAAACGGTGACACCTTTGCCTGAAAATGTTTTGTTTATCAGAGAGCTCACCCCCCACCCCCTTTCCTCTACTTTCCCCTAAAGTTTGGTACGTTACTTTTGGGACACCCTGTATGCATAAATTTCGGTACATTTTCAAACGTAGCCAAATGAATTCTCCTGGAATTATTTCCGCCTTGCAGCTACACCTAAAACTAAAAAAGCACTTGCGGGCAAGAGTTACGCTGCATTCGATCCCTGACTGACAGTATTCTAGCTCTATGTCAACAAATACCACGTTTATACGTAAGCTATTTGCAAATACCTAACTCACTGTTTATTCGACGGTGAAAAATTTTTATTTAATATTGCCTGATTATAAAAAGGCAATAATAGGCGCGTTCGCGTAGCTGTTAATTGTTCAAGTTTAACCAAAACTTGCAGGTTTTTGCGTTCGCGTACGCAAAAAACTTGTAAAGTAGGGGAAATTGAGAGAGCAAAGTGACATTTCATTTTGAGGGGAAGCTGTTAGTTTCTGTTGGCTAAATTTTTGCCAACAGCAATTTGCCAACAGGGAAACAGCTGATCAAAAACAGCTGGTTGGCATTTACGCAAATCACAAAATTGAATTTGATGGTTTGGAAGATAAAAATTACAAAATGCGACTAATTAAACTTGTAAGAAATAAGTAGTTATTTGTTTAATCAATAAACTGTGTCAGTATAACACTTTGCGACGACTTTTCGTACGTTTTAAATTTTACACTTTTGTATGTAAACAAAAATTATATCAGCTGTTCGTCTAACTTGCAAGTTTCTGCAAATTTTCTGTTCGCGTACTATTTTGGATATTTCTCTCTTGTGAGACGAACAGATGACATTTCGCCGGAATTTGGCAGTTGGTTGGTTTCTGCTGGAGATTTTAAACGAACGCACCTAATATGACCATCGAAAAAGAAAATAAAATTAAAAATGGCAACGTCTTGATTATAAAAAAGCAATAAGATGAACATCGAAAAAGAATATAAACCTAAGAATGGCGGCGTCTTGCGCTTATTTGCAAATAGTATCACTAATCAATACTTATTTGCGTGATTTAGTTATTTGCAAATAACAAATTAACTCAGCGTTTATACGGCAAAGTTTACCATTTTGCAAATTTTTATTTGCAAACATATATGTAATACTTCTATATTGCTAGTACAATATGATCGCAATGAGTTTTCCATTCGAAATCAAAGAAAGACAGCCTATGAAAATGTTTGTAAACTACTACATAGAATGAAGTGCCATATCATAACAGGGCCGGTTCAGGGAATTCAACAAACAAACACAAATTTGGCGGTAGTGTTCCCTTCACGCTGAAATGTATATCGAGCCCTAGCCGCGAAAATGAAGTAAGACTACTTTTTTCAAATTTTAATTTGCCTCTTAGAGCACCTGCAACAAAAAGTAAATTAAAAAAAAAATATAGATATACATTATTTTAGCGGTTAGGGCTCGGTATGACGAATTTCTCCGATGCTCCTCGTTATTTGGAAATCTGAAGAATTGGAAGATAGAAAATTTTTTCCTAACAAAGACAAAACTTATTTACACATAAAGCGGTGTGGTATTTTATACGTTGGCCGAATCCAATAAAGCACGTTATTCGATTCCCTTCTATGCTGATTGACGCCAATTGGAAATGCCAACTGATGCCAAGTCCTTCTCTAACTGGTATTTTTATCCTCTGCCGCCACCAACGGCCGCAGCGCTTCTCATAGATTTACACAAATTTTATTTTTTGTTAATTTTTCATAAGAGTTGTTTTTAAATAAAAATTTGTGAACCCGCTCCTGAATTTTGAAAAGTAAAATTGTCATTTTGAGTACATTCGCTTATCGGATCTCTCTTTCTTTTTTCAATATTTCGGCACTCTGATGTTGGGGAATGTACTTTGAATGTACTAGCAATATAGAAGTATTACATATATGTTTGCAAATAAGACGTGCGTATAAACGTAGTAACAGTCCTTTATAGGAAGTAATGCCATGCCCACGGTGTTCTTGAACCAAATTCAACTGAGTCGGTCTGGAACGATCGAATTTCCAATTAGACTAATTTAGAGGGCCGTTACCAGGTCAGAATATGCGAAGTTTGAAATCGTAGTAAGTGCCGATTTCAAAAACTGTAACCTTTTCGATTTTCAGCCGACATTTTCGCGTTTAAGTGTAGTATAAATAAGACTGTATATGAGTATTTTTTTAAATATCGAGCCCTATCGGCCAAACTAAGGTAAGCGAAAGTTGTTTTTTCAATTTTTTTTATGCTGAAATATTCCTAGAGCATCTAGATGCATTTCTGCATCTAGAAGAAAATTTTGGAAAAAAAAATGTCGCTTACGTTATTTTGGCGGGCAGGGCTTGATATGTATGTATATACATGTATAGCTTGTGGGGAATTTCGTAGTCGTCTACTACAATAGCCAAATTTTGGTCCACTTAAAACGGTCAACTTTTATCTGGTTTAAAAAAAAATTAACTATAAACACTTAGTACTTTATAGGCATTTTTTTATTAGCTAGTTTTTTTCTTTTAATAATATAAACTTGTATTTTCGTCCGGTGCCGGTACTAAATATGGGCCGGGCTTCCCACTAACCTAATTTTTTTTTTATATTTAAACGAATTTCCAACGTTAGTCAAATGCGCTCCTTTATAAATGCGCTACACAATTTATGCATTTTCTGCAAGTGCGCCTGCTTGCAGGGTATATATTAACATACACCCAAAAAGCCAAAAATGCTAATATTCTATCTGCTCCGGTTCAAGACATAAATGCGTTTCAAAAATTCTTTAGTGAATAATACTGAAGTATAAAACCACATTTTCTGAAATTTTCAGTCACATACAACAAAATGTTGACCAAGTTGTTTGCGAACTTGCAAATACGACAAAATTTTACTCAATATCTCGGAATTATTGTCTGCTTATGTACGTCAAATTATTTTTCAACAATAGCAATACATGCATACTTTTCCAATTTTCTCAATCAGAGTCTCAATTATTTTCAAGACAGTAAATTGGACAAGTATGCACCAACAAAAATTTAGACATTACAAATTTGCAACTTGGCTACAAAGAAAGTAATGATACAACCGTTTCCGTGGTGAAAAAAGCTTTACGATCGTCGTGCAAAAATGACGCCGTATATGATCAAATACAAAAGGATGTTGAGGAGATGTCGTTTCTATTCGTCGAGGTATCAAGATACATTCACTTTACACTGATGAAACGTTGGGTACAAGGAAACTTTGACGCAATGAATTTTCTTGACTGTTAATACCAGTTGATGATAAAGAAAAAACCAAAATATACAGTAGACCAGCAGTATAATATGCTGCGAAAAAAACTCAAGTTGTACGATAGTTCGTATCGGTCGAATTTATTTGTGGAAAACGCGAATAAATTTATGACTCTGTTCTATAACAATATTTGGATGCACGGTTATACTCGGCTCAGAAAATATTTCAAATTTGAAGAAGACAAAAAAAGGTATATAATACACTGAGCTACCTATTCGATAAAAATTCCAAAAATATCCCAGATGAAGCGTTACTTGAAATGTGAAACTATTTCGGTCTTCAATCGAATTATTTGTCAACCTGCAACGGTATAATGAAATCAAAAAAATAAAAAATTTGGTACTAATTCCACAACTTAAACACGGTTTACATCACGTGAGATACGATCGATTTGCGTTCCATCAACTATTGTGTCGATTACAATTATTCAAAGGACCATTTTCTTCCTTCGATAAAAGTTAATTTAAAGTGAAATATTTCAAAATTCCTTCAACGTGTACTAAAACGTTTTCGTCCCTACAAACTGATGAAGTGTCCGTATCATTTTGTATGGAAAAGAAAAAATACAAAATGAAACTAAAGCGAAAAAGAGAAAAGCAAAAGAGACCGATTGTGAAGGTGATCTAATAAAAATACGTGGAACAAAATTGGGCTAGATCCTGGCTGTCTGCTCATTTTGGCTGGCGTCCGGAACAATGTTTCTGTCAAAATTAAAAATTCATACTACCAAAATCTTTCTGGTTTTTTTTTCTCGAAAAAATAAACTACAGAAATACACGAAAGATCAAAAACAGAATTATCGGCGAATTCGTCAAAATTTAAAGAATACTGTAAATTTCAACTTGAGATACTAGAACAAAAGCTACAAATTTTCTCGAAAAGAAAGACGGCTCAGCTGAAGTTGAAGAAGTACATTTGCCGACAAAAAGCCTGCAACCACATTGCGAAGCAATTGGTACCAAACACAAAAGAGAATACATTGATATGTATAGGTTCCACCGAAATTGCTTCAAACTCACCTATACGCGGATATCGGCGCACACCTAACCGTCTACTTCTAACAGCTTTAAAACAACGGCATGCAGATATTCTGATGGTTAATGAATTCAGAACAACCAAACTTTGCGCAAAATGTTTAAGCGTCAACCTGACGGCCAAATCGCCGAAGAGGTACCAATTTTACCCAAAATGTGGTACCTGCTGGAATCGAGACGTCAATGCTGGGAAAAACATACTCTACCAGGGAGAATGTATTATCAAGCAAAACGAAAAACGCGAAAAATTAAAAAAATAAGATGTCACTATTTCTTGTATAACGGCAACTGTGTACATCTGACTGGCAACAGTTAAACTTTAATGTTAATGTTAGTGAATAATACTTACATTACATATTACATATACGGATTTAATCGTAAAATGAAAAATATACATAGATCTTATTTTTTGACATTACCTCGTCGGTGTCACTTCCAACCAACAATAAATCGAATGGTATTGCGGCCACTAGATCAATCAGGAACCATCCACTCAAATAATGAACCGCAATTCGTCCGGGATGAGAGACGACTTCATCCTGGCCATCGATAAATGTGGTTCGAAAATTAATAAGTATGTCAATAACAAAAGTAACGTCGACTGAAATTTCAAGAAACGGCGTTATGTAGGAATTCAGATGTAGGTACATATGTATACATATGAATGCGTGTATGAGCATAGGTTTTAAAGAAGAGTTTATCTTACATACATACGTGTGTATGAACATAATATCAAAGTCCCTTTGCATACTTAATAAGGGGCTTAATTCATAAAGTGACAGTGATAGTTTTGTAACAACAGGCATTTTTCGTAATGTCAGTGAAAATTCGACAGATTTGTGGTTGTTTTGTTTCATAAAAAAAATTGTCACCACCGCTTCAAATTCATGAGAAATTCCATTGAAAAAGTGACAAATTAGTTGCGTTCGACAAGTCAAAAATTTGTAATAGTTTTTCCAAATTTTTACTGGATGGCGTTCGATAACGACATAAAAATATCCAACACACAAAAATTGAGAGAGCAAGCGTTCATTTTGATGCAAGAGAAGCGTTCATTTTGTACTGGCGAAATTTTAGTCAGCAAAAATTATCCAACACGAACACATATGATCACAAAACATATGGTTGCAATTTTTGTAAACAAACAAAATTGCATTTTTCGGGCTTTGATATTTATATGCTTTTTGGCTGCCTGCTATGTGACTTTATGATAGTGCCAACTAGTTTTTACTTCTAGAAATGTTCCTGGCGAACATTGAACGTTCACTTTTCTTTTTTCTTCCATGGAGGCAACATGAATTTCAGTTTGTTTACAAATAAAACATAAACAAAGTCAGTTGGTGTGTCTTCTTCTTCCGGTTTTTGCAAGTGATGGCTAATGTCCTGTTCGTTTACTTTTT